TGTTTTGTTTTTTTTTACCAGTTTCCAAAATAATTATTTTGGGCTGGGAACTGATATTAGGGAAGTGCTCCAAAAAAACCCTCCTGCTATGCCATAGGAACATTTTAAAAATTGAAGCAACTCTCCACTTCTAATCTTCATTTCTATAGTAGTAGTACAGAGAGACCTGCATCCTAAGAATAGCCATTGTAATGGAATTTGTCTTAATAGACAATTACCCTAACTTGAACACAGGTATTAACATTAAAGTCTGAGAAGTTACATCTGGCTTGCCATGCATCAGGAAAGAGGCATGGTACAAGAAAAGCCGTTAGCACGAAAATATTCCTGTTTTCAGTCACAAGTGTTCACATGGATTAGGCTTTTTCTTAGACTGCTCTAGTGAAAGCATATTTAAGATCCCAGGTGTAGTTTCCCTGAAGGTCTACTTGGCCACAAAAAACACGACTTCCCACAGCTTTATTCTTACCTTGGCTGCCCAGTTGACAAGCCATGATGGAATCATACCACCAGGATTATCGAAGTAATACATATAAACTAGGAAAAGAAAGAATGGAAGAGGAACACACATTATCTAAATCCTGAATTCCTTAGACAAGAGTACAAGTAAACAGCTGCAGTGTTGCATGCTCTAGTTACTAGCGCTGTGCGAAAACAGAACGGTGCCGTTTCGACTTGAGTTTCCAGGTTTTGATGGAACAGTGTTTCGTTTCGAATTTCATTTCAATTTGAAACCGGTGTTCCATTTTGCTTTGTCAAAGTAGCGACCCCGTTTCAACGGTTTTGCCCATTTCGTTATAAGGAAGCTTGAAAACAGCCTCTCACCCGGCAAGCAGATGGGGGTTCACAACCTTCAGAGGGCTGTGGGCCCCTGATCTGCCGGCCAGATGAAGGAGGGAAGTCAGGTGCTACTGTCACTTGTGATCAGGGAGCTGGGGAAGGGAACTTAACCCAATCGCTCAGTTCCCCTCCCCAGTGCTACCACTGAGCTGAGGAAAGAAACTC